TTATTCGTATTTCGTCTCCTATTATTTCAAATCCATTTCGATAACAATCTCTGCAGCCTTTTTAAAATAGAAAAATGCTTTATACTCGTCCACTTCAGCTCCAATTCCGTAAAGATAACAATATCCGAGGTTATTGGTTCCACTAGCATTTCCTAAATTAGCAGATCTTTGATAATGAAGAAATGCTTTATGCTCGTCTTTTTTAACGCCAATTCCGTTTTCGTAGCAAAAACCGACTTCAGACATTCCCCCAGCGTTCCCCATATCTGCTGATTTTTGATAGTAACAAAATGCCTTATCTCCATCTTCTTCAACTCCAATTCCATTTCGATAACAATAACCAAGGTTACATATTCCAGTAGAGTGTCCCATATCAGATGATTTTTGAAAATAACTAAATGCTTGGTATTCGTCCTTTTCAACTCCAACTCCATTTTGATAACAATATCCAACTTCATTCATTCCACTAGCATCTCCCATCTCTGCAGATTTTTGGTAAAGGGTAAATGCCTTATGCTCATCTTTTTCGACTCCAATCCCATTTTGATAATAATATCCAAGGTTATGAGTTCCTCTAGAATTTCCCATATCAGCAGATTTTTTATACTGAATAAACGCTTTATGTTTGTCCTTTTGAACCCCAGTTCCCTCTTGATAACAATAGGCAAGGTAACACATTCCAGTAGCATGTCCCATATCGGCTGACTTTTGATAATGAATGAATGCCTTACTTTTATCTTTTTTAACTCCGATTCCATTATCATAGCAATATCCAAGATTACATATTCCAGTGGCATGTTCCATGTTAGCTGATTTTTGAAAATAAATAAATGCTTGTTGTTCGTCCTTCTTAACTCCAATTCCGTTTTGATAACAATAGCCCACTTCATTCGTTCCACTAGCGTTTCCAAACTTAGCAGACTTTTGATAATAATTAAATGCTTTTTGTTCATCTTTTTCAACTCCAATTCCATTTTTATAACAAACACCAACTTCATACATTCCACTAGCATTTCCCAAATCAGCAGATTTTTTATAATGAATAAACGCGTTATACTCATCCTTTTCAACTCCAATCCCATGGCTATAACAATAACCAATGTTATACGTTCCACTAGTGTTTCCCAAATTAGAAGATTTTTGAAAATATATAAATGCTTGATACTCATCCTTTTCAACCCCAACTCCATTTTGATAACAATAACCAACTTCGTTCATTCCACTAGCATATCCCATTTCAGCAGACTTTTTATAATAAATAAATGCCTTACGTTCATCCTTTTCTCTCCCGATTCCATTCTTATAACAATAACCAAGATTGTAAGTTCCACTAGCACTTCTCATCTCAGCAGATTTTTGATAATTGGCGAATGCTTTGTTTTTATCCTTTTCAACACCAATTCCATTTTGATAGCAATAACCAACAGATGATATTCCATTAGCATCTCCCATCTCAGCAGATTTTTGATAAAAAATAAATGCTTTTTGTTCATCTTTTTCAACACCAATTCCATTTTGGTAACAATAACCAACCCAAGACATTCCGTTAGCATCTCCCATCTCCGCAGACATTTGGTAGTGAATAAATGCGTTATATTCATCTTTTTCAACGCCAATTCCATTTCGATAACAATAACCAACTAAAGAGGTTCCTCCAGAATCGCCCATTTCTGAAGATTTTTGATAGTAAGTGAATGCTTTATTTTCATCTTTTTCAACTCCAATTCCATTTTGATAACAATATCCAACATCATACATTCCATCAGTATGCCCCATATCTGCTGATTTTTTATAATGAATAAATGCTTCTTTTTCATCTTTTTCAACACCAACTCCATTTTTATAACAATAAGCAAGTGAAATCATTCCATTAGAATTTCCCATACTAGCAGATTTTTGATAATAGGCAAATGCTTTACGTTCATCCTTTTCAACACTAACCCCATTTTGATAACAATAACCAAGATTATATATTCCGAGAGCATGTCCCATTTCAGCTGATTTTTGATAATATATGTATGCCTTATTCTCATCTTTTTCGATTCCTAACCCATATTGATAACAATCTCCAAGTCTATTTATCCCGTAGGCATTATCCATTTCTGCAGATTTTTGATAATATGTGAACGCTTTTTGTTTGTCCATTTCAACCCCAATTCCGACGTCATAACAACCTCCAACATTACATGTTCCAGTTGAACTTCCCATCTCAGCTGATTTTTGATAACAATTAAATGCTAAATACTTATCTTTTTTAATCCATCTTCCAAGCTGATAGCAATATCCAAGAATGTTTTGAATAATATGATTTGTTTGCTTATTCAAGCACCAATTAATTATATCTTCCGGTTTAAGCTGTTTGTTTGCTAAATAATTTTCTATTAAATTAAGAATTGTTGTAGCATAATTTCCTTTTTCTTCTTCTTCCTTATGCAGATCACATAATTCTTCAATTATTCTATTTATTATGTCTTGCAGCACGTCATCATTACATATAAATAAGTATGGTAGTTGAAAAACTATTTAACTTACTCTTTAGATCCTGAATAATATCTTTTTATCTAGTAACTTACCATCTTTTACAGAGCACTCCTCAGATAAATTCTTACAAATATTCAGAAATCCTTCTTCATTTGACATTTCAATAAAAAAGTTACTAATAAAACTTGAAACGATCTTGCTCTGTAAATAATGGTAAACATGCGCCATACTATGTATTGTAACGTAACTCATGCAATGTACATATTGGAACTTGTAATAATGTGTTCAGATGATTTTGCCGACAAATTTTCCTATAATGATGATTGGCAGAGAATACTGCCAACTCACGTTTCGCGGCTGTGTCGATCTCCTTCTCGATATAGACATCCCGACAACTAAATCCATTAAATCACTAAAGCCGCTAAACGAAGTAATGGAATAAAATAAAGAGAGGCTAAATAGTCTAAATAGTTTAAAGTAATAAGTTGGATTTAGTGTAGCAAGCCGGCTTAGCCGCTTCAGCCGGTCCAGCCGCGGCTTATGTTTCCTGAACTGGGTCCCTAATAAAAAGAAAGATATTTTTTGGCCAATGATTCATAAAGTGTTCCCACTGGGAAACAGGATAGCTCACTTTTCTCCAGATGTATCTAGGGATTGTCCATGGGTGCTCAGGCATGGATCAAGACATGGAACACTTTGTCTTAAACTGTAAGCTCAGTAAGAAGATATGGGAATGGGGGTACAACTTTTTTGAAATTAGAAAGGATCTCTCATCCGATAACGATAGAAGAGATCGTCACAACTTCGAATGTTACGGGACAAGCAAATAAGATGTGGGCTTGATTTATGAGCTTTGGTGTTTATACACGAACAAAAAGTGGGT